CCGCCTCCAACGGCCATGCCCCCTGCGTCTCCTTCCTCATCAACTTCGGCGCCAACATCTTCGCCCTGGACAACGACTTCCAGTCCCCGCTGGACGCCGCTGCAGGCAGAGAGCGGGGCGAGTGCGTGGCTCTCCTGGACGCGGCGGCCACCGCCCAGGGCATCATGAACCCCAGGAAGGTGGCCAGGCTGAAGGAGCAGGCACAGAAGAATGCCCGGCGGCAGGTCCGAGAGTGTGAGCGGCGCCAGCAGAAGCACCAGAGCAAGATGGCCCGCGCCCACACCAGGGAGGAGGCGGGCACGCTGTCCTCCTCCAGGGGCACGCTCTCCGGGGAGGCCCTCTCCAGCGCCTCTGGCGCCAGCATGCTCGGGTCGCTGTCCAAGGGCATTAAGGGCACCTTCAAGATGCAGTTCAAGAAGAACAAGGGCACGGCGCCGGGCGGGCCAGGCAGCCGGGACGGGCAGAGGAACGTGATGGAGGTGTTCGGCGAGGAGGAGGAGGGCACAGTCTCAGGGGAGGCCGGAGAGAAGCTCCTGGAAGAGGACAGCTGTGCCCAGCACGAGTCCATTCTCAGCCGCCCAGGTCTCGGCAATCTCGTCTTTAAAAGGAACAGGCTGGCGAGCCCAGAAGACATGTCAGACGACAGGAGGGAGCTGGGGTTTAACGTGGCCAGTGAGTTGTTTCGGCGACAAGGAGCGGCGCAGGCTGAGGACGCAGCCGCCGTTGAGGAGGGTGAGGAGGGGGACGGAGACAGCTGGGAGGGCGCCTTGCCGTGGGAGGAGGCGGCGGTGGAGTGGGAGGAGGAGGCGGTGGATGCCACGCCCCTGGAGGTGTTCCTGCAGTCCCACCACCTGGAGCAGCTCCTTCCGTTCTTCGTGAGGGAGCAGCTGGACCTGGAAGCTCTGCTGCTTTGCTCCGACGAGGACCTTCAGAGCATACAAATGCAGCTGGGCCCCAGGAAGAGGGTTCTGAGCGCCATAAACACAAGGAAGCAGGCGCTGCAGCAGCCTGGTCCACTGGTGGACACCAGCCTGTGATGGGGCGCTGGGCCAGCAGGGGGAGCCGCGGGGGGCAAGGCAGTGCCCCCTGGGTGCACCTGGCAGTGCCTGCTCTCCACTGAGAGCCACAGCTGGGGTGGTGCGGGTTTTGGAGGTGCCCACCTAAAAATTTGAGGCTAGACTGTACTCAGAGAAAGTCTCTAGAAATAAACCACCAGGAGAAACTCAAGGAGACCTGGGAATAAAAAACGGCATTTCTCTTCAGTTTTATTTTTAATATTTATGAATATGGAAAGGGTTAAATGGATGGCGGAAAAAAATACTTTACTTTTCCAACTCTAGATTTAAGATTACAACCCTCATCACACTGCTCTTTACTTTCTGACTCGTGGCCTGGGGATCCTAATTCCAGTTCTGTCCTTAGCCCTAGACATTGTTTATTGATGAAGATCAAAGTTCCTTCATTGGTGTGAGATCTGACACCCAACTGAAATGTGTCAGTGGTTCCCAACATGGGTACCTGCCCCACAGGGGGGCAATTTGATTTTTAAGAGGGGCAATTCGCGAATGAGTCATTAACAGTTTTTGCACTTCTATGGTTCTAGGGGCCTCATATACAGCATATTGTGACATATTTATGCATTTCAGTTCTCTATTACATGTTTTGAAACTGTATTTGCTATTTTTTCCATATCACATCATTAAACAATTTCTTAGTGATTTCTTCCTCAGTACCTCCACTGTCCTTTGGTTCTTTTATTTTTCTCTTTCATGGATGCCATGTTTGTTGGCAGCTTGTTTAGACCAAGTTCATGGTCGTTTAGGCTTCCTCCACGTGAATTCTTATTACTTTTTGAGTAATAAGAATTGTGTCACAGGGGCATCAGGATTTTAGAGATGCTTAGGTGGGACATGGCCAAAGAAAGGTTGGGAACCACTGCTCTAACAGAAGTTATATGCTTGCAAGTAAAGAAAGTGGGTCTACAATACTTCTGCCTGAGTAACCAGACAGGGTGTCAGGCAGGGAGAGTGAAGAGAGAACTAGAATATAGGGTACCTGCTATGGACTGAAATGTGTTTCCCCCAAATTCATATACTGATGCCCTACTCCCCAATGTGGCTGGATTTGGAGATAGGACCTTTATCAAAGAGGTAATGAAAGTTAAATGGGGTCATAGGATGGGGCCCTAGTCCCACATGACTGGTGCCCTTAAAAGGAGAAGGGAGAGACACCAGGGGTGCACACGCACAGGGAAGAGGCCCAGTGAGGGCACAGCAAGAGGACGGCCATCTGCGACCCAGAGCGTGGGGCCTCAGGAGGAACCAGGCTGCCGGCTCCGGGTCCTGGACTCCCAGCCTTCAGAGCTGTAGGAAATTCAAGTTGTGTCTACGCCGCCTGTCTGTGGCGTTTCATTATGAAAGCCTGAGCAAGAGGGTGGGAAGAGGGGAGAGAAATGCACAGGGGACAAAGGCTGGCTGATTTGATGGTTTTTCTAAGAGTGCTTACCCTCTGAAACATAAAAGGAAAAAATGCCTCGGTTCTCTGTGAAGAAAATTTGGTTATAAAAGTAAACTTTACATTTTCTTTCTCACTACCTGCCTCTTTCATGTCCTGCTATCCATCCCCGTTGGTGCATGTCTGAGTCCATGCAGCTACTGTAACTTAAGTGGGCAACATTGCTCTGACATTTTTGAGTGGCAAGCTCAAATTCAAACCAAAACCTTACTGAATAGTTAAGCTTCACCGAACTTTTATGGCCAGACTTACATCAGGTGACACTGACCGTGGATTAGTGTGAAGTGGAAACAGCGGTGTCTTCAGCGTGCTTCCTGGCTCACACACCGATTCGGCCTGGGTGTTTCGGGAGGCCCCGCTGAGGAGAAAGCACGGGGAGGGGTCCTGGACAGGTGGGTGAATTCAGGTGGGTGTCAGTCTGCGAAGGGATGGTGTTTGCAAATACTGCGTGTTGTCGGTCTGGAGCAAACTGATGTTGTATTTGCTTTCCATAACGTGCAGGAAAGCAGTGGCCGCCTGGACGGCACTCGCCCCGAGCCTGCCTCTGTGGGGACTTGAATTGCTGGTGCTGGAGCCTGCCCCCGGGTCCCCGGTTGTAGAGGGCCACCCGAGAAGGCACATGGAATCCTTTAAATTGTCAGCTGAGCCCGAGGCATGGCAGAGTCCGCGTCCCGTATACTCTCCCCCCGCCCCCCACGAAGAGGACAGGGGGGTGTTATTCCGTTTGACTCACCTTTGTCCAGGTGTCAGCAGGGGTGGGTCTAGACATGTAAATCCAGTAATGCTAGGGCCTAGTTAAGAATGCAAATAAGCTCATTTGACCCTATAAATAAACCTTCTGCGTGGCTTGGCTGCTCGCTGCCTCTCCATCAGACAGGTTGGCCCAGCTCGATGAATCTATTTCTGCCTCTTGGTCTCTTTCTTTCTTTAATTTCTTAATCCCCAGCTCCTCCACTCAGAAATCTGACTGCTTCCTTTTCCGTGATGGAGATGGACACGGAAAACAGAGAAACAGCCCCACCCCCCCACCCGATCTGCCGAGACCTGCTGCTGGGCGGTAGCAGAGGCGCTCGGCAATGCTGCTGCTGACAGACGGGCTCTCCAGGGTGTGCTGTGCACACTCCTCAGAGGTGGCATGAGCTGGGAGCCTCCTCGCCACTTGCAGAGTGGGACGCCTGGTGCTTGAGAGACGGAAAGGCAGGCAGTGGAATGCTGCTGGAACTCAGCCTGCGTGATTTTGTTCTGACTGCCTCGTCGAGGAGAGCCTTTCCAGCTGTGATTGTCGGTGCTGCCCTGCTGGAGGGAGGGTAGCAATTGGCTCAGCAAATATAGGGGGAGGGGGTGTATGTTTGCCCAGAACTGAATGCTCTCGCCTTGGTGTGGATTCTGGGGTGAGACAGGAGGGCATGGCCTGAAGCACACATGGGTTTCAGTAAAAACCCCATCCAGGAGCCGTTAGAAAGGGCAGTGTGCCATGGCAGTGACTGCCTGAGCCTCAGCGGCCAGGAGGGCATCAGTGTGTGTTCTGAACAGCTGCCTCTTCCTTCAGTTACAATGGCCCAGCCGGTCGAGTCCATGGGCTTATGGACTATTCCCTGAACTAAGGCTAATGCCACGTCTGTGTGACCACAACAGCATAGCCCGCTGGGCACAGCTCACCATGTATGAACAGAACTGTCAGAAGGAGCGAGGGCCTACATGTCAGGAAGTAAAGGGTTCCCTCTCCCTGTCAGGGAGGCGGGCCCGCCGCATGCCGGTGCAAGCCGTGCAGGACACTCGCCTCTCAGCCACGGTGCCGGGCTCGGACAGGCACGGGGCCGCCATGGGCCGGTGTGCCTCGGTTCTGGGGAAGAGCGTCTCTGCTGGGGCTGCTGGAGGGCCCCCCGGAGGCAGGTGCTGCCGGCCACTGCCTGTCCCCCGGGGACCTGCTGGTGGCGGTGCCAGCCCTGCAGGAGCCCAGGGGCAGCTGTGGCCGAGCATGGCCTGTGCCCTCCTTACCACACCTTCCACCAGCGCCATTCCATGTGCAGCACTCAGCGTACGGCAGCTGGAGTTGTGGTCTCCACCACGACCACCCAAGGAGTCCTGAGCAACGCAGAAGCTCAACTGTCCCCAGCCTTCGGCTGGAAGAAGCAAAGGCTGTGAGGTCTGCGCCCACTTACAGGACAGCCCAGAGGGCGGGTCCATGGGAGGGGACGCAGGCAGCGGTGGCCGGCGGGAGAGGAGGGTCTGGGTCTCCCTGGGCGATGGAAATGTCCCGGGATCACACGGGGGGATGGCTGATGGCTCTGTGACCACGGTTTCTATACGAACAGCCACTGACCTGTGCACTTTGGTTCTGTGGTGTCCACGCTGCACCCCAATGTAAGAAATAGAAAATACCAGGGGCCGTCACCGGCACGCCCCCGCCAGCGAGTGGGGAACTTGCTCCCCTCGCTTTCCTTGCCATGAGGGACAGAGGTACCGAAGCAAAAAACGGCAGGATAGGAAGTCGCTTTATTTCCAGGAGACAGAGCAGTGGGTGCCCGGGGAAGGGGTGCTGCTGCCACCACCTCCCCTCCCCCCTCCCCCAGGCCCCTCAGCCATGAACCCAGGAGGACTCCTGGCTGAGAGGAAGAGGCAGGACGAGCTCAGCAAGGCATGATGGCTCCCTCGTCTGATCTGGAAACCACAGGCGGCGGAGGCGAGGCCTGGGACTGCAGTGCCGGAGGGGGGGCCGCGCCTCGGCTATTTCCCAGAAGCCCAGGAATTGTACACTAACTTGGCCACGACCGCGTCCTCCACGGCCAGTCCTGGAAGGCACAGAAACTGGGGTCACTTTTGTCAGAACAGCTGGTCTGGAGCAGTCCGTGGTGCTAAGGGCGTCGGGCTGGAAGACCGCCAGGAGGCGGGCTGAGGGTCCGTGGGGCAGGCCTGGCGGGAACACGGTGCTCCGCGGGGAAAGCCGCCAAACAGCGTGCATGCCCCAGGCTCAGCTCGGGCCGGCCGTGCTGAGTGGGCAGCAGTGCGGACACGAGGACACGGGGAGCGGCCGTGCACCAGCCAGACTTCCTTGCAGACACGGAGTCGGAACTTCACGCAGTACTCAGTCCCGCAATCCCCCCGCAGCCCGAACACTGGAAAACGGAAACACCATCCGGGCTTTCAGACAAAGATGGGCGGTTTGGCCAGGCGGGCCCAGGCTGCAGAGCGCCGCTCCTCAGCACCCCCTCGGCTGCTCTGCACACTGGCCTTCGCCTCCAACGGCAGGGTGGTCTGCAGTGACCGGTAGCCCGTACAGAGCCTGGCACATCGCGGTGCGTAAGACCACCTGCCGAGTCCTGCCACGTGTGCCCGCGGAGAGCTGGCCGCGCAGACGCCAGCCCTGTGGGCCCCAGCAGTGGGAGAGCGGGCTCGCCTGGGTCTCCGCCATTCCCCCAGGCTCCCCTCCTCTCCTAACATGTCCTCTTTCCCCCACCGCCCACTCCGCAGCGGCTTCGGGAGGGACTGCTGGTGCGTGCTCTGTGCCAGCCACCCACACGCCCTTCACACTCGCCGGGCGCCAGGGGGGAGCCCTGTGTGGAGAGGGGAGGCCGGGCCCAGAGGCCCCGCCCGGGGCCGTGTCACTAAGACGCCTCAATAATGGCAGAGCCAGCCCTGGCCACCCGATGTCACCCCCCCCCCCTGCAGCCAGGTGACGAGGGGCCGGTTACCCAGAGACTTGAACACGGTGGTCTCCGTGCAGAGCGCCGGCTTCACGCCCGCCACCACCTCACCCAGCTCAGCGAAGATCTGCGCCTGCGGGGCGAGCAGGAGGAGGTGTGAGCCCGGGGGGTGTGAGCCCGGGGGGGTGTGAGCAGGAGGGGGGTGTGAGCCCGGGGGGGTGTGAGCAGGAGGGGGTGTGAGCCCGGGGGGTGTGAGCCCAGGGGGGTGTGAGCAGGAGGGGGTGTGAGCAGGAGGGGGTGTGAGCAGGAGGGGGGTGTGAGCAGGAGGGGGGTGTGAGCCCAGGGGGGTGTGAGCAGGAGGGGGGTGTGAGCAGGAGGGGGTGTGAGCAGGAGGGGGGTGTGAGCCCAGGGGGGTGTGAGCAGGAGGGGGTGTGAGCAGGAGGGGGGTGTGAGCCCAGGGGGGTGTGAGCAGGAGGGGGTGTGAGCAGGAGAGGGGTGTGAGCAGGAGGGGGGTGTGAGCCCTGGGAGGGGTGTGAGCAGGAGGGGGGTGTGAGCAGGAGGGGGGTGTGAGCCCGGGGGGGTGTGAGCCCGGGGGGGTGTGAGCACGGGAGGGTTTGGGCACAGGGGGGTGGGCCCAGGGGGGTGAGAACGGGGGGTAGGCACAGGAGGGTGTGCACAGGGGGCTGGGCACAGGGGTGTGGGCCCAGGGGGGTTGGGCCCAGGGGGATGGGCACAGGGGGGTGGGCACAGGGGGGTGTGCACAGGGGGCTGGGCACAGGGGGGTGGGCACAGGGGGGTGGGCACAGGGGGGTGAGCCCAGGGGGCTGGGCACAGGGGGGTGGGCACAGGGGGCTGGGCACAGGAGGGTGTGCACAGGGGGGTGGGCACAGGGGGGTGAGAACGGGGGTGGGCACAGGGTGTGAGAACAGGGGGGTAGGCACAGGAGAGTGTGCACAGGGGGCTGGGCACAGGGGCATGGGCACAGGGGGGTGGGCACAGGGGGGTGAGCCCAGGGGGCTGGGCACAGGGGGGTGAGAACAGGGGGCTGGGCACAGGGTGTGAGAACAGGGGGGTAGGCACAGGGGGGTGTGCACAGGGGGGTGTGCACAGGGGGGTGGGCACAGGGGGGTGAGCCCAGGGGGTGAGAACAGAGGGGTGGGCACAGGGTGGTGGGCACAGGGGGGTGAGCACGGCAGGTGAGCAAAGGGGGTGGGAACAGGGAGGTGGGCACAGCGGGGTGAGCATAGGGCCCTGTGAACAGTGTGGCCAGGAGGACCCTCCCCCTCGACGGCTCGGCCCTCTGCCCGGGGCCCGTGACGCCCATGGCGGGGGCCTGGGACACTGGTCAGTGGGATGGCATTTCTGCTCTGACTCCCAAAGAGCGGGCAGGCTGAGGCTTATGTGGTTGGCAACCTTGGAGGTTTCTGGCTCAGCAGTCCATCCCCAGGCCCCTGTGCGGCCACAGCCTTTCTCCCGGGCCACCAGGGAATGGCCCTGTCACTCCAAAGGGAGTGAGGGGTTCAGGCTGTCCCCCCACACCGAGGTGGGTGGATGGGGCCTGGATCAGGCCAGCTGGGGGAGGGGAGCAGGCCAGCGGGGGGGAGGGAGGCAGGCCAGCGGGGGGGGGGGCGGGAGAGGGGCTCACTCCGGACAGCAGCACGTCCCCGGACTCCTTGAGGGCCGCCTCCCGGGAGTCCACGTACAGCACGGCCTGCGCCAGCAGCTGGTCGTCCAGCTCCCTCCAGTCCGGCCTGCTGGCCCCCACAGCTGAGAGACAGCAAAGCCGCCTGAGCCGGCAGCCCTCCCATCAGCAGGACTGCCTGAACACCTGGGACAGAGCAGGCCTGCTGCGCGGCCCTGCCCTGCCCTCCCCTGCTCCCTGAGGAGTGTGAGGCACGGGCGCCGTCCTCGGGGTCCGCTGTGTCCGGCCTCCGTTACAAGATACCCCGCGGAGGCTGAGGCTCGGCGCTCGCCGGGCACGTGCCTCCGTGTCCGCCCACGGCCCAGACAGTGAGGCTCCTCACCCAGCCTGGGGGCTTCCTCAGCCCTGCTGCCCGTCTGGCCTTTGCCACCCTGCCCACACCTCCAGCCACTAGTCTCCGTCTGTGAGGAGCCTGCTGCCAGGGTCTGGGAGAAGCAGACAGTGAGCACGCCCTCTGCAGCCAACCAAGCCTGCCCTAGGCCTGCCCGGCACCCTGCCGCCCAGTGTAACCTCGGAGCGAGGCGGCCAGGGGCCTGGGACGTGGAGACCCTGCGTGCAGCAGCAGCGCCCGCCGAGGCCCAGCCACCAGGGAGCTCGGCGAGAACACAGGCCCCCCTGGCTGTTCCACTTCCTTCTAAGCAGAGCGGGACCTCTGTTCTCAGGGACTATTTCTCAATTTTTTAGAACATTCAACGGCCCAAGCAAAGCACCTCTGCTAAGACAGCGTCACTGCCGCCACTCTCCCTGCTTCCCCCCCCTCCCGTTCTCCCTCGCCCTAATGTCAGAGTCAAACACGCGCTTCCTGACATGGCCTGTGAGGTCCTACACAAAGGCCTAAGGAAGCTCGGACAGGAGCCACAGGTGGCGGGACCCCGGCCTCTCAGGCCGCTTCTCACAGCTCTGCTCCTGTTCTGAGCGGGCTCAGCCCTCACAGGCCATGAGGCGGGGCAGACGGAGTGGGCCAGGCAGCAGAGCGGCGCTCAGGGGGCTCTGGCCCTGCTTCAGAGGGGCTGGCCTGGGGGGGGGCAGACCCTGGTTGGTGGGGTGAGAGTGAAAAGGAAATGGGAGAGGGGGAGCTTGCAGCCTAGCTCAGTACCTGATTGACGCTGCAGTCTGACCCCCCCCTCTGACCTGGCGGGGCTGGGGGCCCTGGGGGAGCTATAGAGGCCGGAGCCTCCTCAGGAGCTCAGGTCCACACTCAGGCCAGGCTTTGGAACCAGAACTGCCCTGGACCAGCAGCTCTGCGAGGTAAAGGTCAACGTTCCTCCCTCTGAGCCGGCTGGTCGCTCTCTGTGCATTCTGCCATGAAGGGCAGGAGCAGGGGGGTGGGGAGGCGGAGGCTGAGCCTGGCCCTCAGCCAAGCTGGGAGCCCGTGCCATCTGCTGGCTGCACCTGCCTGCACCCTCCCTGTGGGCCTCCCTGGCTGCACCACGGCTGTCGGCGGAGAGTGTCAGACATCCCGGCTCAGAGGCAGCTGGCCTTCCGGGGGGAGTCCAGTGTGAGAGGCTCTCAATGACTGGCTTGGAAGGTGGAGCGTCATGTGGCAGGGAAGGTGGTTTGCTTCCGGGAGCTGAGAAGGTCCCAAGAAGCAGACACCAGCTCCCCACAACGGAAGGAACCGCCCGCCTGCCTGGCAGAGGCCGCCCGCCCGTGTCCCGAGGCTGCAGCCTGGACAATGCCGGATTCCAGCGTGGGCAGAAGAGGGCCCGGTGGCCACACTTGGAGACCGAGTTCACAAGCACGCGCTGTTTTAAGCCGGAAAAACATCAAGTCTGCCTTGCTGAAGCTCGTGTTCATTTCACCAAGAAGTGGTTTCTCTTGTTTCCCAAATCCTTTCAGGAATGTTCCACTGCCCACAAAGCCAGGCTCTGTCCACCTGCCTACCACCGCCTGCTTTCCTGGGCCCACACCCTCACACCGGACCGACCGGCTCAGGCCTTCAGTTTGCTCTGCCCCTTCCTCACACCTGCGCGCTTGCTTTCCTTCACAGAGCTGTCTGCAGCATGACTACCTATTCACTGACTGTCCACTCTTCTGTTGTCTCTGTCCCCTCAGGAGAGCGCGGGGCCTCGGTGTGGTTCAGGGACAGCAGCCTCTGTGGCAGGCAGGGCACAGGGCGGGCTCCCAATGGCTCTGGCAGGTGAGTGTGAATCATGATGCTCGGCTCCTGCAGGCTCACCTGCCAGTGTGCACAGAGAGCTCAGGTCTGAGCTCACGCCTTGTGCATTTCACTAAGACGAGCACCGAGGGCCTGTTTAAATGCACCAGAACCCAGGCTTCTTCCTGACAACCAGAGTAGTAGTGAAGAGTCTCAGCTCGAATCCCAACTCGCCGCGAAGGACCTCCGACTTGGAGCACGTTAGCAATAGGCTTAATTTCTCTGTGCCTTAGTTTACCCACCTGTAAAAAGGGGATGTAATAATAATAGCTCCTGCTTCCTGAGGTGTTGAAAGGATTGAATGACAGCAGCACCATAAAGAGTTTAGAACAGCTCTTACCCCAGGGCCCTATGTTCAGAGACCACAGGAACTCCTATGCTTAATATTTATTTTAGTTAGTTATTCTTTTTTAGAGAGGTAGAGTGAGAGGGATAGAGAGAAACATTGATGAGAGAGAAACATCATAGATCAGCTGCCTTCTGCATACCCCCTACTTGGGATCAAGCCCACAACCTGGGTATGTGCCCTGACAGGGAATCGAACCAGTGACCTCCTGGTTCACAGGCTGACACCCACACTGAGCCACACCAGCCGGCCAGGCACTCTTATATTTAGAGTTGCACCTATCCAATCACATACGGGAGAGTATTCACATTTCACATTAATGTCTTCTGTGTTATAATTACTTCTTTTGTAGTTCTAAATGTTAAAGATAAATGAGCCATTTGGCTTTGTCATTTAAACTTCATTACATGAAAAAACTGAGCTGTGACTGGCCAATTGCCATACTGTCACGTTATGTAGAAATTCTACTAGTTTCCGGTTAGCAGATTTTGTTTGGTGTTTTGGGGTGAATACTGTCTTAGGGCCACACATCCCCGAGGGCTCGGAGGCGTCGCCTGTGGCAGAGCAGTCCTGCAGCTGTGGCCCCGGGCCGCCTCAGGCCGGCCCCGCCCCAGCCACCAGGACACCACACCGCTTACCATTGACGTGAGCCCCCGGCTTCACCCATTCGCCAAGCAGAATGGGCTCTGTTGCCATGGTGACTGTGATGATCACATCGGCACCGGTCACAGCCTCCTGGACGGATGAGCAGACCCGCACCTCTCCCGCCACGGTATCTGCAAACTTCTGGGCATTCTCCTTAGTGCGGTTCCAGATTCTCACCTTGTGGGGGCAGCAAAAGGGACACGGGTGCCATGATTGCCCGTCAGCCAGCCCAGACACCCAAGGAAAGGGGAACCCCTTGGGTCAGGCTGTGCTTATGTAAATCACCCCCGGAAGAAAGGCATTCATCAGGGAGGCAGCATTAACCTGGGCAGACACCCGGGCAGATGTTTAAGAATGACCGTCCTCCAGCCCTTCCTTCTTACAGAAGGGGAGTTGCTCTTTGTTTCTTTTCACTTGTTTTCTAGAGGCCCATCAGTGCACCAGCGGGCTCCCTCAGCCTGGCCTTGCCCTCTCACAACCTGGGACCCCTGCCTTGGGGGATCGGGCAGAAACTGGCAGTCCGACATCCCCCGCGGGACTTAGTGCGCAGAGCAGCCAGAGGCCGGGGAGCTGCCTTGGCGGCGGGAGAGGCTCACGCCTGCCACAAGCCGGGGTCTGGTGTCCATCAGTCAGGGTAGCAGCACTCCTGCTGTGGAGCTCACTGACCACAGGGGCAGCCCCTGCACTGAGCATCTGCGCCCTGGTGGTCAATGCGCATCATAGTGACCGGTCAGCGTAATTTAGGCATATATATATATATGTGTGTATGTATATATATATATATATATATATATATATATATATAGAGAGAGAGAGAGAGAGAGAGAGAGAGAGAGAGAGAGAGAGAGAGGGAGGGAGGGAGGGAGGGAGGGAGGGAGGGAGGGGGGAGATCTTTTTGTTGAGAGTATTACAGATGTCCCCTGTTTTAGGAGAGATGTTCTTCACGTCTACGTAGGACATTCAGCATCGTTAATGTGATAGCTACCACACAGCCCAATGATTAGCAGAGCAAGTTCTGGACCTAGTTAGGCGAAGACTCAACCCTGCTCCTCACGTACTTCCTGGAGCTACTCAGCCTCAGTCAGCCTCAGTTTCCATGTCTATAAAATGGGGTGATGAAGGAGTCGTGGCAGGTGCGGGCTGTCCGTGGCATGGCTTTGGGGGAATAACTTGATCTCTGAAGGGCCTGAGGGAGCTCAAGAGCAGAGGTCTGAGGATGGAGGTGTGGCCGATGGAAAGGGCCGGAGCAGTAGCTACAGTTAAATCCTGGTGGTGGGACTGGATAGCTTGCCTAGCAGACAGCCATGTCAGAGCGGGACTGGCAGCCTTCAGCTGAAAATGAGGCCTATGCAGTCTCTCATAAGGAAACGTAACGTAGAAACCTGTCTGCGTACCTTTATCAGCCAAGGTTCTGTGCACCCAAATGCAAACCCAATACAGCACGCCCGGTCATGAGAGAATGGCTAACCACACCGCCCCTCTGATAGAAAGCTATGCAAAAATTATGCAAAAAGGAAGGAATCTATGCAAGCAGTGATGTTAGAACATTCAATAGAAAGGCGGGATATGTAACTATATCTACCTAATAAGATTAAAACTTATAAAGTGCAGGTGAAGGAGGACTGGAAACTGTGAACTGTTGCTGTTTTTTAAAATAGACTTTTCTGTCGTCTTCTTCCTGATAGTCCACATTTCCCAATTATCCTAAAAACATCACACTTTAAGTCTGCCCCGGCCCTCACACACGTGTGCAAAAACCCAAATGGTCCTGGGAGGAAGGTGAGCCACAGCTGGGGAGAGGTGGGCCCACATCTGGGCTGTAGAAGGAGTGCTGTCAGCTCCTGTTCTCTAGGCCTCACTCCCAGTTCCTGAATCTATAACCCCGAAGACTTAGACTCCCAGGTCTCCCATGAGACGTGTGTGTGTGTATGTGTGTGTGTGTGTGTGTGAGTGTATGTGTGACTGTGTGGTGTGAGTGTGAGTGTATGTGAGTGTGTGTGAGTGTGTGTGTGACTGTGTGTGTGAGTGTATGTGAGTGTGTGTGTGAGTGTGTCTGTGTGTGAGTGTATGAGTGTGTGTGAGTGTGTGTGTGTGTGAGTATGTGTGTGACTGTGTGTGTGAGTGTGAGTGTATGTGAGTGTGTGTGAGTGTGTGTGTGACTGTGTGTGTGTGAGTGTGAGTGTATGTGAGTGTGTGTGAGTGTGTGTGTGTCTGTGTGTGTGTGTATGAGTGTGTGTGTGTATGTGTGTGAGTGTGTGTGAATGTGTGTGAGTGTGTGAGTGTGTGTGAGTGTGTGAGAGTGTCTGTGTGTCTGTAAGTGTGTGTGTGTGTTTGTGTGTGTGTGAGTGTGTGTATGTGTGTGTGAGTGTGTCTGTGTATATAAGTGTGTGTGTGTGTGTGAGTGTGTATGTGTGTGTGTGTATATGTATGTGTGTGTGAATGTGTGTGTGAGTGTGTGTGTGAGTGTGTGTGTATCGGGTGGGGGGCGGGGGCATACAAAAGGACAGGTGAAGGGCTTAGACCACAGATATCATAGAGCCCTTTAGACTAACTGCTAGGCTGGCCCCACCCTCAGACAAACCCTGTGAGCTGAGACACTCAAGAGGTGCCAGGCCTCCCTGCCTCTGTCTGTCCCGGGGATTCTGGGAAGTCATTAAAGGATGGTCATGATGGGACCCTCCCTCACTGTCCAGCACGCCCTGCTGCAGTGAGGAGCAGACCCCGGCCAGGTCCCCTGTGCCCAGCCCCCGGGACTCACCTCCTTGTAGGAGAACTGCTCCGTGAAGACCTCGTAGTGGCTGTAGGCCTGGACCCCGGCCCCCAGGATACACAGCACCTCACTGCTGGGCAGCTTCAGAAACTATGGGAGAGAAACGAGAAGAAAAGGCTCACGAGTGAAGAACACGGGCAGCTTGAGCCAGTGGCTCCGCCCCTTTTTGCTCCCGCAAGCTCCCGCTGGCAGCACCCAGCCACCCCCGGGAACCACCATTCAACGCTCTGTTCTCATCGGCATTTTTATATTAAGCCCTAGAGAGCTAACACATGGCACAGTGAATATAAACAACAACATGGTGTTATAATCAGCAAACTTGCTTAAAGACTAGAACTTAATCACTGTAACCACTGAAAAGAAAAGATCTACATATATAAAAGCCCAGTGACCAGAGCAGAGCGACTAGAACGACTGGAACAGCCGGTCACTGTGATGAGCACTGGTGCAGTCAGCCAGCCTGATCGGGCCCTAACTTCCACCCCAACCCCCCATGGCCCCTCCCTCCAGCTGGCACTACCCTGCCCCTGACTGGACCCCCTCCCCCTCCCGATCAGGGGCAGGGCTGGCAGCGAACCTCCCAACCGACCTCTCCTCCCAGCTGCCCTGGCCCCCATCGCCCCCACCCCCCATCTCCTACCCTAACTGAGGACAAGGACAGCCAGCCAACCTCCATGTCCCCTTCCACGCCCACCCCCCAGCCTGGCCCTGATGGCCCCCATTGGGGCAGGCCAGCCAGACCCCACCCATGCACAAATTCATGCACCAGGCCTCTAGTAACGATATAACACAATAGAGATGCTATCTATCGCTCAGGAGCTGGGTAATGTTCCTCCATGAAATGAACTGTTTTCTGTTCTCAGTTAATAGCAACCTCTTTCTGGGAGTCCACCCAGGCTTCAGAAATGGTTCGTGTACTGTAAACGTGACCCCCATCCTCTGAAACTAACTGTCCAACTTTGATCGGCTGTGGCTGGGAACCTAACAACGTCACTGGAGATAAAATGTAAAAAGAGCTAGCTGACCTTGAGGGCTCTGAATGGTCAGAGCTATTAACTCATTGTCTAGTTGAGATAGTGGTGCTGGAGGCAACTTTAATTTGTTAATCATATGTAAATGTAAATTCTTCTTGATTTTCTGTTGCTGGAACTTCCCACCTAAGAGATGTCTTTGTTTCAGAATCTCCAATAAAAGGAACGGTAAAAGGCCAGAGAGCAGTTAGTCTTCCCACTAGAGGTGGACTTCCCGCCTGGCCCCCATTTTCCCAAATTAACTTTTCCAGTCTCTCTCTTCATTTTAGTGTGCGGCCTTCTCCAGACACCGGACCCTGAGTGGGTCCTGAACCACGCGGGTCATGTTAAGGGATCCCACAGGCTGTTACCTTAAAGGTGATGCCATAACTGATAACATTTTGTAAACAGCATAACACTCATAAGACTTATTAAATCATAGCAGGATTTCCCACACCCTGTCTTTTCCTGTAAACATGTGGATAATTAAAAACACGTGTGTGAATCACTGCATTTCTCCCTCACAGAGCTGGCAAGCCTGTGCTCCATCTGCATTTGCCAAGGTCTCTCAACCTGGCCCTCCCACCTCCCCAGCCCCTCACGTCATGGGCGTCTGACCTCCAACCACTCCAGCTTCCCAGGCCCCTGTGCCTCTGACCCCCCAGGGCGGTTCCGCTCTCTTCCTGCCCCTTCCTTGCGAGGAATTCCTTTGCTCCTTCCAATCTCAGCCCAGAGACCCTCCCACAGGGAAAGCCCCCGAGCCCACGCCATCTTCCGCCCTCACAGCTCTCCCCCCTCCGCTCGGTGTCCGCAGGGCTGTGGCTCTGTGCATTAATGTCTGTCTCCCTGAGTGGACTGGAGCTCCGTGTCCACTTTTCCTTAACCACCGGGGCCGGGCGGAGCACAGGCCGGGCCCGGGGGCACGCTGACATCTGTTGAGCAAACACACACCAAGCCGAAGCCTTGCCGGTGCCACCTTGGGAACAACGCTAAAGCGTCTGGCGGCCTGAGCGCGCCAATGCGTCCCCCCCGAAGCGCTCAGTGAGGGCGGAGGGGAGGGAAGCGGGCTCTCACAGAGCATCGGCAGCATGACCCTGCGCTCCTCAGAGTGACCTGCCTGCCCGGGAAGAGCCAGGAGGCTTGGGCGCAGGGTTGCACCTGGCCCGGGAGGGGGCCAAGAGCCCTTTGGCTCCCAAGCCCAGCTCCCGTCAGCAGGAACCGGAGGCTTTTTGGAAGCGAGGTTCTCGGGCCGCCCTCAGCGAGGCGACCAGGACTCAGGGGACACGGCCCCGGCACAGCTTGGGCTGGACACCACTGACCGGGGCAAGACCCGGCAGCCTGGCAGGCCTACTGTGACGTGTGTGAGGGCCGTCTCCACCCTGTGACCTCTGCGAGGCCGGCGATGCTGGCTCTGCCCTCCTCACTGACCCCCGAGCGAAGGTGAGACAACGGGGGTGGCTTTGGAAAGAACCTGGGCAGTGGTCACTCTGCTCCGAAGTCAGCGGCAGGCATCGCCAGGGAGCCCAGGTGTCATTTCGGTTTGAATTGGGTCCGGATAGGATTTCTGGAAACCAGCTTAGCAAGGTGTGTACTCAGGTTCCTTCCTGTATGTACAGTGGCCAGTCAGTCCTCGCCTCTTCCCTCCGTCTCCACACGCCCAACCTGCATGCCCGGCCTCTGCCGGCCTGGCCGCTGCCAGATCCGTTTCCGTCACACTCGGGCTCCGAACCCGGTTCCCAGGCCTTTTCCCCTCCACGTGCCAGGCCCCACAGCCCCGTCCAGGCTGGCACCTCCCTCCAAACAGGCTGCTTTGGCTGTGGGGGCCCTGCAGCTGCGGGAACAGCGCCCACAGGGCCCAGGGCCCTCCTTTTCCTGTCCCTCACCGGGAACTCCCTTCTTTAAATCTCAGCTCAGGCCCCCAATACAGGAAAGCCTTCCCAATCCCCCCCCCCCCCCCCCCCCCCCCCCCCCCAGCTCCCTGCTTCTGCTTCCTTCAGTCTTCACCCCCATGGCGCCTCCTCGGTGAAGTCTTTTCTGGATAATTTAAACTGTCTGTAACCCTTCCCTGTAATGTTGGTTCTGCTTTAGTTTCAAATACTAATGCACTTTTTGTTGCCGGTGGCAGTGCTGTCTTTAAAGCAAATCCGGGCGTGTTGTTAAACTCAGAAGAGGCTCTTGTTTGCTCATTATCTCAACGCTCTCACTGTCTGTGTGCTCTGTGCTGCCACCACCTGCACAGGCACTTGCTCTCTGCTCCCTGGCAGCACTCTCTGCCCTCTGGGCAGCCTCAGGTTTGCCAGAGTTGGTGGTGCAGGGGCAAACGCAGTCTGGGGGGTTAAAGGGGTCAAGTTTTAAATTCTTTCTCTGCCACCTAGCAGCTCTGTGATCCTGAACAGCTCACACATCCTCTGTGAGCCACCTTCCTCACCTGGAGATGCCTCATCTGCTGGCAGGACTGAGGGGAGCATCTGGGACAGTGCAGTGGGCACCGGGGTCTGGCAGGCTCAGTGAGTGGTAGCTAATAACGTGTGGATCGCTGAGCTCACTGACACTCATGTCTGGCGTGCAGAGTCCCAGCTACGTTTGTGAGAAGACCAAGGTAAGACCCCACTTCTCCCGTAGACACATGAGCCTGAAGCACCACCCCCACGCTGCCTGGCCCAGCTCACCTTGGTGGCGATGGCGGACACAGCTGCCGTTCTCTTCGCGGTGATGACGTTTCCGTCCATGACCTTGGGAGGAAGGACAGCGAGCAAGCACGGAGCACCCGCCCACACGTACACCCTAAACCACAGCCCAAGCGGTGCCATCATGCCCACAGTGAAGGCTGTTACCCCTGGACCCGACTCTCCCACTTCTGAGAAATGCGACTTCGAAAGACACCTCACTCCTAGCTCCGCTCCTCTGCCCGCATCCCTCCCTCCTCACAGGCAGCTCCAGGGTCTTGTTTTACAGACAAGAAAGGAACCGCTACTGAGCCGGCCAGGACGGGTCTAGGCTTTGACCTGTGAGCTGGAAAGTCTAGACAGGTCCCGCTTCCCCAGAAACTACGGGGGAGGCAGCGTGGGATCAGCCCCATGGGACGGGCCAGATTCTCTTCGCAGGGGAGCAGGGAGCAGTTAGGTTCCTGTGAAGGTGGAGGTTCGGGGGAAGCTAAGGACCCAGGGCAGGTTTGGATGGACCATGGAGCGTCTGCTGAGGCCTGTGCTGCCTGCCTGGCATCACAGCGCCTGTGGACAGGGCATAGCCTGCGGGCCCGGGGCTGGGTGAGAGGCCCGCTCCACAGCAGGCATCGCTGGGTTTCTCAGTAACCGGCTGTGAGGCCTCAGACAGTGATCCCGACCTCAGTGGGACCTGGGGGGAGGGGGTTGGTATAACCAGAACCCCCGGAGGAAGGCGGCAGGATGCCTGCACGGACAGTCAGTGCTCAGTAGGTGGTTCCAAAGGCGATGAGGGACAGGCCCTGGACTTGCTCTGAGTGCCTCTGGAGGCCCTTATTGCCCCCTCTGCCAGGGAGGCTGGGCCTGGTGTCCAATGACTCAGGTTCCTCCTCTGCAAAACGGGGCCTTCACAGAAGGGTTCGAGTCACCAGTGGTGCAGGCGGGCTGTGTGGACTGGCGCCTGCACTTAGGGCACTCAGAGGGCCACCTCGGCCGGTGCCCCATGGGAAGCTGACAGTGGGCGGGTGTGCCTCACAAAGGCTCCAGGGGCACAGGACACCCTCCCCCCCACAGCCTCAGGCACACGACACCCCTCCCCCGCACAGCCTCAGGCACAGGACACCCTCCCCCCCACAGCCTCAGGCACACGACACCCCTCCCCCACAGCCTCAGGCACAGGACACCCCTCCCCCCCACAGCCTCAGGCACAGGACACCCCTCCCCCACAGCCTCAGGCACAGGACACCCTCCAGGGCACAGGGCGCAGGCACAGGACACGGACACGGGTACGGGCACAGGCACGGGCACGGGCACAGGCACAGGGCATGGGCACAGGACACGGGCACAGGACACGGGCACAGGGCACGGGCACAGGACACGGGCACAGGACACGGACACGGGTACGGGCACGGGCACAGGACACGGGCACGGGCACGGGCACAGGACACGGGCACAGGACACGGGCACGGGCACAGGCACGGGCACAGGACACGGGTACGGGCACAGGCACAGGCACGGGCACAGGGCACGGGCACAGGCACAGGACACGGGCACAGGACACGGACACGGGCACGGGCACAGGACACAGGGTACGGGCACAGGCACAGGCACGGGCACGGGCACAGGCACAGGGCACGGGCACAGGACACGGACAGGGTACGGGCACGGGCACAGGACACGGGCACGGGCACGGGGAGTCGCTCACCGCCAGGAGGGCTCCGGAGCGCGGCTCCAGCAGCAGCACGGTGGCCTGGTGCGAGGGCGCAGCGGGGGCAGCGCGGGGGCGCTCGTAGAAGGTGACCAGCTTTGTGGCCAGGGCGTCCTCCGCGGCGCTGTAGGCCGGCATGACCCCCAGGAACCTGCGGGGAAAGGCTTCAGGCCCCTGTGCCCCCCTCTGCCCTGCCCCCTCCTCCCCCCTCAGCCACGCTCACCCCCGGTGCGGCGCCACGGGCACCACGGAGCGCAAGGGCTGCGCCACACCACCCGCGGGGCCGCGGGAGAAGGCGGCCAGGGCGGCCTCCAGCGCCGCAAGGAGGCGGCCGCCGCCGCGGAGGTGGCGCTGGACCTCGGCCGCGCTCAGCAGCACGGGCGCCGCGCTCATTCCGCTCACCCCGCAGCCACCCGACTGCCCGACCGCCCGACCGCTGACCCCGTCCGCCCGCCCCTGCCCGGGTTCGCCCCGCGGCCCCAGGCGCTCCGGGCGGTCACTCCCCGGGGCGGGGCCGGCCAGTCCCACCCCCGCTGCCCGGGGCGGAGCCTCCCGCGGGGCCTGCGGAGGGCGGGGCGGGGCGGCGGGTCCGCCCTGAGGGACGGGCTCTCCAGGCCAGGAAGACCTCTAACCAAGGCCCCTCCACCCGCAGGTAACCTGGGAGGAGGGGTTGGACGGAGTATGAAGGAGGGTGAGCCAGGGCTACCTGTAAGCGAATAATGAGAACTCATTGAATATAAGTGAATGGTGAAAACTCATTGAATATAAGTGAATGGTGACGGCGGGGACGGTCCTGGCCTCCGCCCTCTGGGCTGGGAGCGCGCAGGAGGCTCCATGCAGCCGCCCTAGAGCCGCAGAGGCGGGAGCGTCCCTGAGCTTCCTCCCCAACTGGTTCCCAACACCACTGGCTGGCAGATGGAGGAGCGGAAGGCGCTTCCAGGCGGGGGAGCGGGTGGGTGGGGGGAGGCGTGTCGCCGTCCGATCCTCCGCAGCCTGTCCCGCCAGGCAGAGTTGGGCTGGAACTCCAGTTTCAGCTCCTCCTGCGCCGCAGCCCTGGCCGCCCCCTGCTGGCCAGACCCTCTCAGCACGGGGTGTGTGTGGGGGGTGCCAGAGCCCTGGGTTGAGGCCACTCAGGTGGGTGTGTAAAGTATCTCCTTGATTTAATTTGCATTTCATGTAGAGCGACTTTTCGTATGCTTATTTGCCATCTTCTTTGGTGAGATCTGTTCAAGCTTTGGCCCATTTTTAATTGTTTTTTTTTTCTTCTGTTGAGTTTTAAGAGTTGTTTGTATATTTTGGGTATCAGTCCTTGATCAGGTGTGCTTTACAATTCTTTTCTCCTGGTCTATGATTTGTCTTATCAGTCTCTTAACAGTGTCTTTGCAGAGTAGAGGTTTTAATTTTAATGACATCTAGCTTATTGGTGTGTCTAAAAGGTCATTGCCATGCCCAAGTCTGTCTAACATTTCCTACTAGGATGGCTTCCAGTTTCACGGTCTGCGTTGAGGTCTGTGATCCACTTGGATGGGGTTTTGTGGAGGAAGTACGTTCTGTGTCCTCCAGTTCATTCTTTTGTGTGTGAGTGTCCAGTTCCAGCACTACTTGTGGAGAAGACCATCTTTGCTCCATTGCAGTCTTTCTTGTCAGACGATATTTATGTGGGTTTTGCTCTGTCCCATTTATCTCTTTGTCTGACTTCCTGATACCCCACTGGCTAGATGTGGTGCTGTGCTAAGTCTTGCTGCAGGGTAGAGACAGTCTCCAACTTTGTTCTTCTCCTTCAACATCGTTTTCATTATTTCGTCTCCTTTGCCTCCAAATAACTTGCTAGGGATTGCATTGAATCTAAAAAGCAAACGGAGAATTGCATCTGCATATTCCTATCCACAAACATGGAATATTTCTTTTAATTTTGGGAAATTCTCAGGCTTATTGCTTCACATATTTTCTCTTTCTTTCTTTCTTTCTTTCTTTCTTTCTTTCTTTCTTTCTTTCTTTCTTTCTTTCTTTCTTTCTTTCCTCTTTTCAGTACTCCCATTACACACGTTATACCTTTTGTTGTTGTGCCATAGTAGTTGAATATTCTGTTTGGTTTTTACTTCAACCTTTGTTCTCTTTGCTCTTTGCAAAGAGGATTCTGATAACATATCCTCAAGCTCAGAGATTTCTTTCTCAGCTAATAATAAGCCCACCTACCAATAAGCCCATGAAAGGCATTCTTCATTTCTGTTATAGACTTCTTTTAATCTCTACTGCTTCTTTTCATTTTTTCTTTGGGATTTCTAGCTCTCTGCTTACACTGCCCACCATAGGGACCCCTAACCCAAGCCCCCGGGAGATGGTACCACTCGGGTGAAATGACTCACCTGGGAACAGTCCAAAAAGTGGAAAGAAAAGGGTGTCTCAAGACGTGTAACTCTGGTGACAGCAGAGAGACTGACAAATCTCAGAGGGAAGGTGGGAAGTAGGGGGAGATTAGCCAAAGCTTTCTCTCTCTTTCTCTCTCTTTCTTTCTCTCCTCTCTCTCTCTCTCTCTCTCTCTCTCTCTCTCTCTCTGGAAGGTGGGAAGTAGGGGGAGATTAGCCAAAGCTTTCTCTCTCTCTCTCTCTCCATATATGTATATATATATATATATATATATATATATATATATATATATATATCATGGACACAACCTGTGTGGTGAAGGCCTGGGTGGGGGTGGTGTGGAGTAGAGGGGATTTTTTAATCAATGGGGATTTAAAAAATACTGTAATTCTTTCAACAATAAAGATAAAAATTTAATAACTTTCAACAGAAGAAAATAGAGTTTTCTTGGCTCCACCTAAGCTCCTTCTTCCTGCCTGCAGCCTGGAAACTCCCTCATTGCCATAGGTGTGCACAATGCAGAGTGCTCTGAGGATAGAGCTGGGAGCACCATGCCTGCCTGTGCAGAAAAAATCACCAGGCACACCTCTGAGGAGACAGAGCGAGCATCTGCACCAGCCATGACAACAATTCTGGTGTTACCAGACTGGACAATTAAACTGTGATTACTATGCTAAGGCTCTAATGGAAAACGTAGGCAGCATGCAAAAACAGAAGGGCAGAGTCCCATTCCCATACTACCTCTGGCCGCCCAAAGCCATTTCAGTAACTGCAGAATCTGTCCCGGCTAGCTGCCTCTCAAAGGGAGAGAAGCTATTTAGTAGCTTTTGGCTCTGGTCTCCCAGTTGGCTTCATCACTGGCCCTTTAAGACATTCCTTTACCCTGGCGGTCCCTCGCACTGTCCCCCAGCTCTCTCTTCATCTTCCAGAAGAAACACAAAATCCTGTGCCTCAGGTCCTCTCTGAGCACCGCACAGGTTGGCCAAGGGGCGCAGGCAGAGCAGCCTGTGGCTGCGGGCGTCCCCAGGAGGAAGCAGGTGGAGAGGAGGTGCAGTTCTGGCTCCTCGGATGGGGATGCTGAGAGCCTGGGCGGCCTGTTCCCACCGGCCAGCACCGGCCATGCCCTCGGGCGGACGCAGGGCCTGGCCTGGCCCACAGGAAGCCCTTCTCGAGGTGGATGGAGATCAGAGGCAGGGGCCCTGCGTGGATCCCTAGGAGCCCGTCAATGGGGGTGGGACGGACCTAGGGAGGGGAGGAGGGATCGTGCCCAGGCTGCCTGGACCCCAGAGCAAGGCCCTCAGCAGCCATGGGGCCCGTCCGGCCTGCGCCCCGGCCTCTGGAGCCCGGCCTGGGAGCCAGAGCCCAGCGCCTGGCCCCGAGGCCCACATGGCACCTGCGGCTCAGCATTTGGACCTGAGCCCGGCCGTTACCCGCCTTCCTCCTCCCCCACCCCCCCAGGCGCCGTTGCGGACTTAGGGGGCGGGAGGAGGTGTGCAGGGGGCACCAAGCGGCGTTGGCAGAGGCCCAGGTGGGGCCTAGGGGTCCCATGGGGGATGAGGGGGTAGGGTGGGGGAGGGGGGCAGAGGGGAGGGGGCACGTGCTGGGCGGGGTGGGGAGGGGAGGGGGAGGGGAGGAGGCGGTGCCGTTGGGCTGGCAGTTGGGCGTGGCTTGCGGTGGGGAGGAGGAGGAGGAGGTGGAGAGGCAGCGGGGCCTGCGGGGCGAGGTGAGTGTCCAGACCTCCGGCCCCCCAGTTACCCCCCACCCCCGTCCTCTGCCCTGGCAGCCGTCCCCAGGCCCCCGGAACCTCCCTCCCGCAGACACCGGTCTCAGGGCTGATCTTGGCGGGTGAGGACCTTGGAGGCGAAGGTTCTGGTTCCAGTGTGAGTGATGCCCAGACCACCAGCTGCAGTCCGGAGCCGGAGCCGCGGGGAGGAGACGGGCGCCCCTCCCGGGCCGGGCTGGAAGGCGGCTCCTTCCGGAGGTCGCAGAGGAGGCTCTCTCTCTGGTCCTTTCCCGAGGGCGCGATCCACCATGTGGGCCTACCCTGATGCCCTAATCACCCCCAATCACCCTCATCACCCCCCAATCACTCCCCAATCACTTTCCAATCACCCCTACTCATCCCTAACTACCCCCAATCACCCCATCACCTCCCAATCACCCCATCACCTCCCAATCACCCAATCACCCCCCAATCACTCCCCAATCACTTTCCAATCACTTTCCAATCACCCCTACTCATCCCTAATCACCCCCAATCGCCCCATCACCTCCCAATCACCCCCATCACCTCCCAATCACCCAATCACCCCCAATCACCCCTCAATCACCCCCCAATCACTCCCCAATCACTTTCCAATCACTTTCCAATCACCCTTACTAATCCCCAATCAACCCCAATCACCCCCATCATCTCCCAATCACCCAATCACCCCCAATCACCCCTCAATCACCCTCCAATCACCCCAATCATCCCCCATCATCCCAAGTCACCCCCCCAATCACCCCCCAATCATCCCCATCACCTCCCAATCACCCCCAATCATCCCCATCACCTCCCAATCACCCCATTACCCCCAGTCACCCCCCAATCACCCCCCAATCACCCCCTAATCACCCCATCACCTCCCAACACCCCCAATCAACTCCCAATCACCCCCATCATCTTCCAATCATCCCCATCACCCCCCATCACCTCCCAATCACCCCTATCACCCCCAATCAACCCCCAATCACCCCCATCACCCCCAATCAACCCCCAATCACCCCCATCACCCCCAATCACCCCCATCACGCCCCATCACCCCCAATTACCTCCCAATCACTCCCATCACTCCCCAATCATTTCCCAATCATCCCCATACCCTCCCAATCACCCCCATCACCCCCAATCACCCTCAATCACTTTCCAATCACCCCAATCACTCCCCAATCACCCCCAATCACCTCCATCACCCCCAATCAACCCCCAATCACCCACAATCACTCCACAATCACACCCCAATCACCCCCCATCACCTCCCAATCACCCCCAATCACTCCCCAATCATGCCCCAATCACCCCCCAATCACCTCCAATCACCCCCCAATCACCCTCATCACCCACAACCACCCCACAATCACCCCCAATCACTCCCCAATCACCCCCAATCACCCCCATCACCCCCATCACCCACAATCACCCCACAATCACCTCATCACCCACAACCACCCCACAATCACCCCCCAATCACTCCCCAATCACTCCCCAATCACTCCCCAATCACACCCCAGTCACCCCCATCA